CTACCCCTCTTCACTCCCCTCCCACCAGGGTTCCAGGTCATGTAAGCTGCAGACAGACTTGCTTTTTACATGGTTGCTGAGGGTCAAACTCAGGTGCTCATGTTTGCACAGAAACTCTTCTTGCCTACTGAGCCATCTCCCCAGCCCCAGAAGTTAATTTTATCATCTAGGGAATTATTTTAATTCATGTCTGTATTTGGTCACAGATAAATATGATAGAGTGATAAAAGATGAATCAGTAAAAAGTCTGTCATCCAAGAACAGCCCAAGACTTCGTTGCCCTGTGTTATGAAACATTCAATGAAGAACAAACTATCATCAGTTTTCCTTGTTACTCGATAATAGAAGATGAAGGAATTCATCTAAACACGTAGGAGGCTAGCACTGTCCTGATAACCAAACCAGGAAACTTTCAAGGAAAAAGCACAACTTTTCATCTTGTGTGCACGCACTGAGATACATAGCTTTTAAAAATTCTTTGCATGAAAGAATTAAATACCACCACGTTAAAACCTCAAAGAGAGGAGCTTGGACATAGAAATATATGTTGTAAAAGAAAAATTCCAACTTTCTTTCAACTAAATAGCCTTTTAAAAGTAATCCATGGGGCTGGAGAGGTGACTCAGTGGCAGCAGCACTGACTGCTCTTCCCTAAGGACCTGGGTTCGATTCCCAGTATCCACATGGCAGCCCACAACTGTCTGGAACTCCAGTGCCAGGGTCTCTGACACCATCTTCTGGCCTACATGGGCAATAAACACATGTGGTGCATGTATATTCATGCAGGCAAAATAGCCATACATATAATAAAATGAAGTTATTTATAAAGTAATCCTTATGTATGTGCTTTGTATACTATAAAGCAGTGAGTGGCCCAGTGTCCTCCACTGATGCAGATGCAGTGAATCCTCCTCCCTAGACCAAGAGAACACTGGTTGTGGGTTTGAGAGAAGGTCGCTAGGGAAGGTTTGCTATCTGTTACCCCAAGTTGTAGGGTCTTATTGGGCTTTGGGGGAATCACCAGTGCTTTGAGAAACTTGGATAACCAGCTCTTTCTTCTTGTGACACAATTTGCGTCCTCAAATCATGGGGAAAAGAATTGGTATCTGGGTACTTGAGATACTTTCTGATTCCATCCAACCATCCAGAGATCAGGGCTGTCCTTGGGCCCTGAAGGCTGAGGGAAGGGCGCCTCACCCTTGCTGGCAGGCTCTCCAACAGTGGTGTTATGGACGGGTCTTCCGATAGTCAAACTTGCAAGCCTCTGGAATGAGCGAGGCTCCCTAGTGCCTTTTTTTTTTGTTTTTGAACCTGGCATTCTGAGCTGGAGAGAAGACTGTCTCTAGCTGCCTCTCACTCAGGATGTGTGCCTCCTCTCTGTCGCTGTGGTGAAGGGCCGGGAAAGAGGTACCTTTGTGCCCATCTGCCTCACAGCTCCAAGTTGACTGTGCCAGTAAAAATGGGAGTGTTGGGCAGTGTTGTGCCAGGACGAGTGAACGGCAAGCAGATGAGCTGTGGAAGGTTCTTTTGTGCGCTGACGTATTTTCCTCGTAGCTTTCCCTGCCGCTCCCGTCTTGTTAATCTACCCTCTAGCGTGTTAGTAGATGCTGTGTTTGATCTTGCAGTTGACATGTAGCAAATCGATGTTGAGAAGTCTGTACGTCTACAGTGAGGAGGTGGATGTGCTTAAATTACTGTCTTGGGACTTTGAAGCCAGAAGCTCTTCAGAGCAGTAGGGACCCCTTTGTCTGGATGAGCTGACATCAGGAATTTGAACTTCAAATAATTGGCCATCGGGTGCAGAAACGCCTCTAGTTTCCAGAGCATGTCTTTAAAAACTTGCTTTTGTTTTACAGTTTAGAAAGTCTGTGTTCTGCCAAATGAATATCTTCGTGGTGATAGAGAAGAGACTTTTCTTGTTGAGCATTTTTGTGTTTGACCGTAATCTGTGGAATTAGAAAAGACACCTTTTATTTTATTGATTTAGTCTGCTTTGCTGTGTTATCCATGATACTCAGTGAAAAGCTGGTGCAGCTAAGGCAAGGTGACTTTGTACTGCCAGTGTGGCAAGAAAATGGAAACCGTTCTGACGGCTAGCTCAGGTCTCTCCCTGAATACAGTGTTGTTTCAGATAGGTTGTGCCGGGCTAGACGGTTGACTTACTAAAACCCTCAGATTTCTTGTCTGGGAATGGCCACAATGTTTCCTGACTTTATGGCTTAAGTATTAGATGTAATTGTTTTTTTTAAATCAAAGGTTAGGGAAAGGATAAAATATGATTAAGTAAAATGAAATTAAACATAAAGATTTATCAATTTGGGTGTGTGTGCGTGCTGGAGAGATGTCTCAGCCATTAAAGAACTCTTCAGAGGACACAGGTTTAGTTCTGAGCACTCACATGGTAACTCACAACTACCCAAAACTCCAGTTCCAGGGGATATGATTCCCTCTTCTGGCTTCGGCAGGCACCAGTCATGTGCACAGTGCACATATATACATTCAGGCAAAACAGTCATACATAGAATATAAATAAATATATTTAAGTTTACAAATTGGTATTTGAAGATATTTAAATGAAATTATTACTATGGCAAAACCCCCTTTACAGAGACACCCTATGTCCTCTTACTTTTCCTACATATAAGTTTTTCTCAATCACCAAACATGGCTTTATTTTTTCATTTTAGTGTCATGTGCTCACCCATTCCAACTCTGAATGAATAGTAATGGTGCTATTTGAGTGACATCGGAGAGCTGACTGTGGCTTGATAAGTTAGGAATTGTCTACAATTCTTTGGTAGTAAAATAAATGTGTTTTTGTCATTGAAAATGCATGTGTGCTCACCACCAAGACATCACAAGAAGGCTAAAGAATTGTCCCCAAATCAAGTCGCTAATAGATCCTGGGCAGTTGAGTCTGCTTCTGTCAGCTGCTCCTTCTGACTGAAGGAGAGGGTCACTTACCGAGCATGATGGCCTGTAAGGCCAGCCGGTAAGGAGGGTGGGCATGTGCTAAACAGAGCTGTGTGCCCAGCTTAGCCCAGGCTTGCTCCACTCTCATCTCTCAGACTCACTGATCTTTCCTTAGTCTAACAACCAGTTAGTTGTCTGGGGGGAAGTCAAGTTACTTAACCTTTTTCATCTAGTTCCTGCTAAACATTTCTCCTCAAATTTAGTAACTAGGTAGATCTCTCTCTTTCTCTGTCTCTCTCTCCCTCTCCCCCCCTCCCTCCCGGTTGACCTTTAATTTCTATTGACTCACACTGTTTATACGCGGCATTTAGACGGCAGATGGAAAACAATAGTGTGCTGTGGTGGGGGAGATTTAAATCTTTGTGGCTGAGCTGATACATTTCAAAGCTGGTTGTCTGGGGAGCTATAGGGTTAAAGGCTCGATTTCTTTTTAGGCATGTATGTATGTGTACCACGTGCCCATGGAGGTCATGAGAGAGTGTCAGGTCCTCTGGAACTGGAGTTGCAGATGGTTGTGAGCCACAATGTGGGTGCTGGGAACCAAACCCAGGTCCTGCTCTTAACCACTGAGCCATCTCTCCAGCCCCAAAGGCACACATGTGTGTCTTTAAAATGAAGTGATAATCAGTGTCTGCTTTACAAAGCTATTTTGAGGATGATGCGATAAATACCCACGGACTGCTTACATCTTTGCCTGACACACGGTAAGGACTCAATGCACATTATTATTTGTTAGTTTTTTCCAACGCTCTCCATGACTCCACCGCTTAGCACTTAGTGATGAGTAGGCACTCGATTCGGGTCTCTGCCTGTGGAGATAACCCCCAAGGAGTCGCCCTGCAGAAGACGCCCCTGTCTGCCACATGTTGGCTGGTTGTCCCTCCCAGACAGACTGCCTCCTTCGAGTGAGGTGCTTGCTGGAGAAGAGTCACCCCTGGAGCCACACATGTCATTCCCGTCGCTGGTCTCCGCCCTGAGATCAGGACTCAGACTTTAACAGGAAGCCCTGCAGAGTGTCTGCTGTGGGCTCCCTCTGCTGGCCCGCCTAGCGAGTATGCACATCAGTGGTGGAATAAGCCTAAAAATTCAGCTTTAGGTGTTGAGGTGTGCTTTATAAGAGGTGCGTTTGGAAACCTGTGTGTGTGTGTGTGTGTGTGTGTGTGTGTGTGTGTGTGTGTGTGTACATATCACATGTATATTCTTTTTGCCATTTGCGTTTTGAGTTGGGATGTTCTCACGGGTTTCCGTTTGGGGGAGTTCACTGTGATTTCAGATGGGACCAGTCATGACACGTTGACAGCCTTAGTAGCACCGTTCTCGAGAACTGTTAAGAGTTTATATTCCAATATGGTCACGAGTATCCTAGAATCTTATTTTTGAAATCTCTAAGTTTAATTTTTAAAAAAAGTTTATGGTATGGAGACTTACGAATATCCTTCAAAGGTCATAGCTTAGACCCACCCCTGGGGCAGTACTGTGCTGAGAGTTTAATATGTGTCAGCCAGTAATATCTCAGGTTTATTGAGTGGCTAATCATTTATTTGGAGTCATACTCTATCAATAAAATGTGCCACAAATTACCCAGAATTGCATTTTATTTCTTTATTTTTGTGTAAGAGTGTGTCTGTGTGTGAGCGTGTGGGCATGTTTGTAGAGACCAGAGGACAGCCTTGGGTGCTGTTCCTTGGGAGCAGTGCACCTGGTTTTTGAGACATGGTCTCTCACAGGAACTTGGGGTTTCCCTGTTAGCTAGACTGGATGGCTGTTGTGCCCCTAGGACTGGGCCTTCCTGTCTCCACCTCCCCAGAGCTGTGATCATCAGTAGCTGCACTATGTATGCTTGGCTTTTTGACGTGGGTTCTGGAACCCCAACTCTGGTCCCCATGCTTGCATGGCACACACTTGACTGACTGAGCCGTTGCCCGGCCCTAAAATTGCACTGACAAATGATTCTTCTGTATCTTTGTCTTCCTTCTCTTTCTCTCTCTCCTTCTGTCTTCCATCTTTTTCTTTTGTTTTGTTACTAGGATCAAACAACATGAATCGGATAACTGCAAACACGGAAAATGGGGAGACGGAAGGAACAACTAAAATTATCGCACCTTCACCAGTGAAAAGGTCAGTGTGTGCAGCTGTGTGCTGTCGTAAAAGTCCCTCCCCCCCCCCACCCCCGTGTTGGCAAGGTTACAGATCTTTTCACTTTGGTGACTGAGTAGTTTTTAACCCAGGGGCTCCGGTGGGTAGCGTCTGAGCCAAAGGGTATGTTATTATGTCAGCAAAATACAGACGCTGGGACCTGGCCCTCATTGAAGCGCCCTTGCTCTCACAGCGTGGTGAAGCCACACCGTATGTGGTCTGCAACCCTCAGCAGCACGCTGGAAATTCCACGTGGTTTTTAAAGTCAGAATACAATGGACTAGCTCAAAGGAACTGGTGAAGTAAAGGGGGTGATATGATATTTTCGTTTAATGGACTGTATTCCTTGCAATGGTGCACTGAGCTGTGTTCCCGGGACGAGGCTTATAGCTTTCGAGCCTCAGGATTCAAAGATTGCATACGTGTAAAGATCTGTCATGGTCCTCGGCGTCAGGTTTCCCAACGGCATTCCCACTGGGAACCTCCTCTTAACGTGCTGCATGGATTGGTTCCTGAAAGATGAGCGCTGTTCTCTGTTAAGGGAGTTCTGGAGTCACTTTTTCCCATCTCTAATTATGTCCGTGGAGCAGCATTATCAACGCACAATGAACAGCTTTCAGGAGCTCACTGTGCCTATAGAGGCTGCACCGCTTGCATCATGGAGAAGTCCCAGAAGTCAGAGAAGTGTGACCTGCAAAGGCGCCTTAGGTCATCCTCCACTCCATCATTCGTTAGTAAACAATGGCCCCTTCATCCAGCCGGACTGTGGTGACTGTGGAATGCAGCATAGTCCAGAGCTGTGATGGCGTTCTCTCTCTCTCTCTCTCTCTCTCTCTCTCTCTCTCTCTCTCTCTCTCTCTCTCTCTCTCTCTCTCTCTCTCTCTTTCAAGACAGGGTTTTTTTTGTTTGTTTTGTTTTGTGTAGCCTTGGCCTGTCCTGGAACTCACTCTGTAGACTGGGCTGGCTTTGAACTCACAGAAATCTACCTGCCTCTGCCTCCCAGAGTGCTGGGATTAAAGGTGTGCACTACCACCACTGCCCGGCCTATTTTCTTTTCTTTAGTTCTGGAGCCTTCTCCTTACAGATCAACCTTTTGAAATGATGCATTCTTTACCTTTGTATGAAGACTGTATCTTCTTAGCTGTATTTCCCTAGTTGGCCTCCCAGTCCTGGGTGGAGGCAGCTTCATCTGCGTGTACATGGCACACTCATGACATAGCCAACATAAGAACAGTACTCTTCCATGAAATTCAGACCCCAGGCCTCTTAGAAAGAATTCAATCCCCTTTGCAACTCATTGCACCAACAGTCCTGAAACCTGAGGAGTGGCCGGCTCCCACATGGGCTGTGAGAAGGAGCGCAGGGAAGGAACACAGTCACCACGCCACCTGGGATTTCGTTATTCTTTAACATTTATCTCCTTGCAATTCCTTTTTCATCCTTCTGTTCTTCCTCATCCCCTTTCTTTTCTGCTCACTTTTTCTTTCTGACCTAGAAAACACATGCACTTCATACGATTGTACTGAATCTCTGCTGTATTTTTTGCTTTTTCTTGTTTCAAAAGGGAAGCATTTACTTTGGGAATTTGATCTTTGAAATTGTGGTTTTAAATTGTTAAGCAATATCTTGGGCCTATGTGAAACAGTCCTACTATCTACTAAGCCTTGGATGTGTATGCATTTGTTGGATATACCTTCTACAGGTGTGTATTATTCCTGTGTGGAAAGAGTGTCCCAAGACAGAAGTTTGTTTGGTTTCTGTAACATCCTTGTCACCCTCTCCTTTACCTCTTGGTTGCTGTTACCAAGAATTCTGCTACAGCCATATTCTATAACAACTATCCAGATCCCTCAAAAGGCCAGGATTAGAAATGGCTTAGCAGCTAAGTAACTCTTTTTCTCTGCAAGCTAAGACTCCAGAGGAAGTGAGCAGTGGCCCCATGCCCTTCTGCTGATCCCTTCTTCTGTTTGCCGAGGTGTTCCAAAACAGTTTGTTGGGCTTGAGTTATATTTACATTCTTAGGGCAGAAAGGCGATACTAGGTCAGGAAATGGTCTTCAAAAGTCATTCTGATCCGGGAGGATGGAGCCAAGATATCCGGAAGCTGGGCAGAGGTCAGATAGGGTAGCCTGGTCCTGCCCAGGGTTAGCTTTCAGAGCTCTAGAGCCAAAGGTGGAGCCAGGGCATCTGACCACTGCTGAAGAATGCCAGCCTCATGTCAATGGATGCTCCAGTGTCATGGTTACTTTTCTGTTGCCGTGACAAAACATCATGACTAAGGTAACTTGACTCACAAAGAAACATTTAATTTAGGGCTCATGATTGCAGAGGATTAGAGTCCATGACAGTCATCATGGCGGAAAGCATGGCAGCAGGCAGGCAGGCAGGCGTGGCACTGGAACAGTAACTGAGAGGTTGCATCTGATCCATAAGCATGAAGCAGAGAGGACTAACTGGGAATAGCACCAGCTTTTGAAACCTCAAGGCACCAGTGACACACCTCCTCCGGCCAGGTCACACCTTCTAATCCTTCCCAAACAGTTCTACCAACTGGGGACTAAGCATTTAAACACATGAGCCTATGGTGGCCATTCCCATTCAGACTTCTACCCAGGTTCTCTTCCTCTTCATTGTGGTGTTTTTTCTACTTGCTAGTTCTTATTGCTGCTTTTTCTGGAAGGACCATCTCTCCTCTTCCCCTCCCATGCCCCTTCCTTCTCTCCTTCTCTCTCTGTCTCCCCAAGCCCCTTTTTACTAGGCAAGTATTGTCTTTTGTAGAACAGACCTCAAATTCAATCAGAAAGCAGTTGGTTAGCCCCATTAACCGTCATTCCATTGTTATACCTGTGGGCACATGTGGCCTGGCAAGTCAGTATTGCAGAGCACAAAACACTCCTGAGCAAGTCCCCTGATGGCTTTTCTCCTGCCGTGACCTGCGTAGCAACTTTCAGTACTATGAAAGCTGGCCAGCAGGGAGACAGCTTCCGGGTCAGTTCTGGCTTGATTTCTGTATGTTTTACAACTGAATTGTGTTGTTTTCTTCAGCATGAGGTCTTATTGTCTAGTTATGGTGGGTAAACGAACAATGCCCACAGCCTCTTGTTTTGGGTGCCCCTGGGCCTCGCTGACAAAATTCATAGGAAGGTATCCACACCTGATTCTGAGATTTTCATCTAATAACCCATGGCTTCTGGGGAAAGTGCTGTCATCCATGTGGAATACTCCATTTAAACTCCTTAAAAATTATATATATGTGTGTGTGTATATATATTATATATATACATATATAATATAACATATATATTTATATATAACATATAGCGTACAGGTACACCCTATGTAGACCAGCCTGCCCTGGGCTCAGAGATCCATTGTCTCTACCCTCCAAGTGCAGGGATTAAATGCATTTGCGACCATACTCCAACTTAAATTCTGTTTTTTAATTAACTTACTAAGTAGTGGTTTTGTGTAAGGCTTTTCCTCACATCCTTAGTTTTGGCTTACCTGGTTCCCACCATCTCCTCTTCCCCACTAGAGTGGACTCTTTGGAAGGTTTTTAACAATTGAACAGCTTGGCTTCTCTTCACGTAAAGCAGTACAGCTAGACTCAGGGAGGAGACATGAAGTACTTACTAGAGAAAGACAGTTATTAAGCAGCCATCTTAGGCCCTTTCTGGAATGAGTCACAGCTATACGCAAAGAAGTATGTGTGTATGTATCCATCTTAACGTTTGTTAAATAAGTCTTCTGAATAAATCAGTGTGAATTAACATAATTTATTTTTTTGATCAACTTATTTTCCTTTCTTTACTATTAAAGTTTTAAGAAAGCAAAGAGTGAAAACAGCCCTGATCCCCAGAGAAGCAAATCTCATGCGCCGTGGGAAGAAAACGGACCCCAGAGGTAAGACGTCTCACTGTCTTTGGAAAGAAGGGCAGCAGAGAGCGTATCTGTCACACTTACCCAGGAAACCAACTGCTCTGTGGCTTCAGGAAGTGCTGAAGTGGACGCCAGGAGCATGTTTCCTAACGTGAAACCTTTTAGAATGTCAAAAAGGAAAACCAGTGGGCATAGAGAAATTACCCATAAGGCCATTGTGATGGTTCACAGCAGTGGTTCTCAACCTGTGGGTCACGACCCCCTCAGGGTTCACACAGCAGATGTTTAACATTACAATTCATAACAGTAGCAAAATTACAGTTATGAGGTAGCAACAAAATTATTTTATGGTGTGTGTGTAGTGGGGGAGGGGTGTCACCATAGCATGAGGAACTGTATTAAAAGGGTCACAGCATTAGGAAGGTTGAGAACCATTGATTCTGAGAAAAATTCCCAGTGACATCAATGCTAACATTTCCACACTTGTTCTTGTAAAAACTCTCAAGCTGGTACATGAACCATTTCTCGTTCCCTCCAGCGGCCTCTACAACTCTCCCAGTGACCGCACTAGGTCACCAAAGTTTCCCTGTACCCGCCAGCGTAACCTCTCCTGCGGCAGTGATAACGACTCGGCGCAGCCAATGAGGCGGAGGTGAGCTGAGCACAGTTCCCATCCCAGTGGGATCGGAAGCGTTGGGGCCTGGGCACGCTTCTGTAACGTGATCCTCAGAAAGCCACTATAGTTGTCTCCTCGTGATAACTGGAATCCTGTTCTTTTCAAAATAAAGCAAGTTGGGGGTCCTGAAGTATTTATCTGAAACGGTTTTAGAGAATATTTTTTTTTTGTGAAATATTGATAGTCACATGCTTTCTTTATTAAAAACGGCAAATTTAAAAACATAGATAACACACTAACAATATAATGTGCATTGCATGGTATCAATAATACATATTAAATGTTACTCCATCGGGAACTAGAAGTCAGTGTGCTCTGTCCTCCAAAGTGACACTGATGGTGTAAGCTTGCATCAGTGAGCCTCTTTTGAAGCAGAGACGGTGAACCTGCTGTCTTTATAGGTGCCACTTTGCTTGTGTGGATGCTTAATTACCCCCGAGTTAACATAAGGGCAGGGGCGTGTTTAAGTATGTTAGAGGCAGTGGGAAGACAGAGGCCTGGTGGTGGTGTTGAGGAGGCAGGTCCACTCTTCTGAGAGTTGGATGGTATATAGGAAGAGGGTAGGGCAGGCTTTAGACATCTCTCAGGAAGTTAGGCTCTGAAAGAGCGGAAGGAACGGGTGGAAGAAGAGGAGTCGTATAGATCAAAGTTTATGTTGAGGGCCAGTGTGACGGTTCCCAAAGTGCAGGTGCTTGCTGCCAAGTCCGATGGCCCGAGTTCAATCCTGGAAGCCATAGGGTGGAAGGAGAGAACCAGCTCCTTCAAGCTGTCCTCTGACCCCTCACGTACAAACACCAACATGGTGTTAAGAAAAAGTTGATAATATTAAAAGCGACAAAAAGGGTTTTGACAGGGCAAGTTGACTATATGTGAGAGGTGAGCGGGAAGTTAATGAAGATGGCCGGGACTCATGTGGCATGTGGGGTGGTGGGGGAGCTAACTTTGGTGGTCAGGACAGTTCCGTAGGTAACGGGGAGATGTAAGTTTTTATTTCTGATGGAGGGAAGATGGAAGCGTTCTGTTTGAGGCCACCTTTGCCTTTGGGAGGAGAAAGCAGAGACCGGCTAATGCAGAGGCCCCTTAGCCAAAGGGCACCAAAGGAGATGTTGACAACACTCTACAGAGACAGTGCTTAGGTCAGAAAGAGGTGTCACTCTGTTGAGTGACTGAAGCATGAAGTCAGGAAAGCGGGTTGACGGTATACCCAACACACTCCTGTTCAGCTCCTTCTGGCCACTGATGCTCAGCTAGCTATTTGGGGCCAGCCCAGAAAACCCAGATCCTTTGTGTGATAGTTTGTCAAGATGAGGGGATTAAAAAGCAGAGCTGGGGGTAGTACTGAGAATTGGCATGTAGGTTACTGAATGGAACCTAAGCTGACTAGGCAGAGCTCACGGGGTCAGATAAAGGGGAGGCTGACAGTGGGCAAGTAAGCAGTAATAGTGACAGCCTACAGTGACATATGTCCCTTTCACTTGAAATGCCTTGTCTTGAAGATTTTTTTTTTTTTTTTTTTTTTTTTTTTTTTTTTTTTTTTTTTTTTTTTTTTGGTTTTTCAAGACAGGGTTTCTCTGTGTAGCTTTGCGCCTTTCCTGGAACTCACTTGGTAGCCCAGGCTGGCCTCGAACTCACAGAGATCCGCCTGCCTCTGCCTCCTGAGTGCTGGGATTAAAGGCGTGCGCCACCACCGCCCGGCAAGATTTCTTATTTTTAAATTGTGTATGTGTGTGCGCGTGCGTGTTGGGAGGGGAGAGCAGTGCACATGAGTGCAGGTGCCTGTACTGTTTGATCCCCAGGAGCTGGAGTGACAGATCATTGTAAGCTGCCCGGTAAACTGAACTCAGGCCCTCTACAGGAGCAATACACACTCTTAACCTGCTGTGGCATCTCTCCAGCTCTGTTTTCTTCCTCCTCACAACTGTTTATGGGAGGTTCTATTAAAACAGAGGTACTTGAGGCTGGAGACATGGCTCAGTGGTTAAGAACACTGGTGGTTCTTCCAGGACCAAGCTTTGATTCCTAGTACCTAAATAGTAGCCCACAGTCATCTGTAACTCCAGTTCTAGGGGATTCAACACTGTCTTCTGCAGAGCCTTTGAGGGCACCAGGCACATATAGGGTATGCAGACGCACATGTAGGCAAAACATCCTTACATATAAAAATTAAAAAATAAAACACCAAGCCACTGAAAAGAGTAGCTTGAGTCACAAGGCTCTTCAGTAGGGAAGGTGGGATTCCTAGTCACGTGGTCTGGCTTCAGTGCTTGCATTTTTTTAACAAAATGCCCTACTGGAAGTGCTTAAAGGTAGACAGGAAGGAGGGGGTGGTATGGTGAGAAAGCAGTGTGTTTGGAGATGGTTCAGGATAATAAAGGTTCAAGTTTAATGAAGATGTAGGTTGGTGAGTTGTGGTGGGTGAGGTTATTATAGAAGAAAGAAGGAATTCAAGGCCAGGATGTTGGAAAGTGAATTCGAGTGAGAGCTGGAACCAGCTGAACATTGGCTTGGAGGGTTACATACCTAGAAACCACAGGCTAGCCCTGTTGTTGGGTGGATGTAGCTTTTCCAACATGGCCATTACACATAAACCACAGCCTCGCTCTCCGTGACTGGTGGTGGGCCGTGTTTCTGGGACCTGTCATAGGGCTGGATGTGTACACATGACATAACTGTGTGGCCAGTGAACCAGTACAAAAGGCATCTGGGTTAGCTGATGGGAAACTCTGTGTGCTTTCTTAGCTGTTGATAATGCTGCTTTGTGTAATTTCTTCTTTTGTTCTCCTCAGGAAAGCTCATAACAGCGGTGAAGACTCAGATCTAAAGCAGAGGAGGAGGTAAAAAGCAAAGGGGGGAGTCGGGGAGGAGGAAGGGGGGTGTCCACAGCCGAGGCAAGAGTGGAGATTCTTCCCTCTGATACAGCTGCTTTATGGCAGTATCACTCGTCTTTGGGTTTTAGCTCCAGTTTCAGCTGGATCTCGGTCTTCCACTCTGTTCTGACCCTTGGCATTTCTCTTTTATCTGTTCCTTTTGTGCTTCTGAGGAGCTGTCTCAAGCTGTGCCCTGCCGTATTGTAAACCACCCCACACTTGGCTTAAAACAGCAACGTGTGTGTGTGCGTGTCTGTGTGTGTGTGTGTCCACGTGGATCGAACAGTGGTCAGATGGTAGCTGATGCTGTGTTGCCCAAAGGGTCTCTCTCATGTAGATGTAGCATCTTGGCAGGATGGTTGGAGCACACAGGCTTCTTTAGAGCGTGGTTGGAAGGAAGCAGAGCGAAGGGCCCTGATTTGGGCTCCCCTGGGAACTAGCAGGCTATCCCCACACCTCATTCGGTTGAAGTCTGTCACACGATCAGTACAAGTTCAGAGCAGTAGGAATAAACTCTTCCTGCCCGTGGAAGGGTTGGGGAAGATGAGATGGCATCCCTCTTTTGTCCACCGTGTGCGTTTGGCTTTGCCGAGTTGGGTTCTGTTAGGCACGCTGGGTCTCCGGAGTCCTTTCTGGGAATCCATTTTCCTTAATGTGCTTCTCTCTTCCTCCTGCCTTGCTCCTTCTCTGAGCTGTGTGTTTAACTGAGTCCAGAAACACTACTGGAAGAGGGTAACATGGCTCTTTGTGTTTGGATTAGTGGTTTTGCTCCACACTCACATCTGGAGTACCTGATGAACCTCTCTATAAACTTGTCATACATTTTTCCCATTTTTGCTTGGTCTTCAGGTCCCGCTCCCGCTGTAACACAAGCAGTGGCAGTGAGTCGGAAAATTCTAACCGCGAGCACCGGAAAAAGAGAAACAGGTAATACTTAAAGACTGCAGTACCTACAGCTCTGCCGTGGTCGCTGGCCCTGGGGTCATGAGCCGGCCTCCTTCCCTGGTGGTCCAAAGGCCACAATCACTCATTTAGGAAATCTCTGCTCTTTGAGTTTCTTATCTCTAGGTAAGACAGTAAATAACTTGATAGTTTAAGTACATTCTTATTTTTTTTAAGATAATTCTATATTTAGGGTATAATATGTGTTGAATTTATCTAAGATGGGGAGGAGTTTGCTGTTTGTGTGGAGATTTCCCCTTGAAGTACCTCTGGGTATGATATTTCTGTATTTTACTTAGCCCCAAAGTGAGACTCATCGTCTTAGAGATTCTGTTAGTCCTAGCTTCTCTATAACTACATGTGTTTCCAGTCACATGAGGTACAGCAGGCCAGTGTGTTTCGGTCACCTTGGTAGGAGTCAGGTTTTAAGAGCTTGTTAATAAGACCAGTTGGCATGTAGTTAGCACGAGTGTTGGCTTCTTGCATTAATCACGTCTCCCTAGTTCCAAATCATTTATTTAAAAACAAAAGGCATTCATGAGCTATGGAAACACCATCCGGGCAGGCCTCAGAGAGATGTGATTGTCAGTCATACCCGATTCAAAGCCAGTGGTTCTTAACTGGGAAGGCTCTGCCCCTTCCGGGGACATTTGGTTGGGTTTGGAGACATCTGTTTTTGTCACATTTGGGTGGGAGCGATTGCTGCTGACCAGAGTTGATGCTAAGCATTCTCCAGCACGCAGGGCAGCCACCACCGCAAAAACACGTCTAGCACTAAAGCATCCGTGATGCTGAGGGAGAGAGAGCTCCTGTGGTGCTCAGACCTGCTCGCTCCTCTTTTCTAAGCCATCCTTTTCTCTTCTGTGTGAGAGGTTGGACCAATCTCCAAGGGCATTCTTTAGTGCTGGGGGTCTCACTCCGCACTGACTGGATGCTCTCCCCTCTGACTACAAAGCCTGGGGACTAATAGCCTGGACAGCCTTGTGAGAGTAGGGCCTCTTGCTTAGGAAAGCCTTCTGCCTACCACCCTCTTGGAGGCTGGGATTATAGTAGGTAGTTGCAAGATCTCTGCGTGTTATAACACTCCTCGAAAGAAACAATTTCAGTTTCTTTATCTGTGAAAATCCAATTATGGGAGGTGGCTCTCCCTCAGGTATGTTCTTCCTGCTGTAAAATCAAGCAATTTCGCACAAAACAAACGGCTTTGGCTTTTCTGCTTAACAGCCTGTGCCAATTCATCAAGGCAGAATCTATTTGTTTTCTTTAGTATCTTCTGTGTTCCTAAATGGCCTGTTCTCAACTGCATGGAAGATAACCTGTTTAAAAACAAACAAACAAAAAACAAAACAAAACAAACAAACAAAAAAACAGTGTCTTTGGGGCCAAATGTGCTAAGGGTGACATTTGCTATTAAAGATGAAACAGAATTGAAAGGTTGCCACCGGATCCTTAAATTGCCCATTGCTGGTCTTGCTGTGCTGACACTGGCTTATGTCCCCGCCATGGGGAGTTATCTTTGTCTCCCACAGACAGTTTTTTTTTGTTGTTGTTTGTTTTTTTATTTGGCTTTCTTAGTGCTAGAATGGCAGTGATTCTGAATGTTCAGATGCTAATGTACTTTGTAGTACTAGTGATGAGGCGTGGCTTCCAAAGCATCCACTCACATTTTACAGAAAGGATCCAGAAGGCTTTTGCAATTGATTTTTAACCTCTGGCAATATTGCCCTAGGATCACACAAGTTCCTGTGCCCGAAGTAGATGAGGAGGCATAGCAGGAAACGGGTGGAGGAAGAAGCGTGTCCAGCTCTGACCTCCATCCACGCAGGTTCCGCCTCAGCAGGCAATGGTGTATGTGGAAGGAGGGCGTGAAGTCAGATGGCTTCCTTGGGGTGCCACATTCCCACCATGCTGCGATGATTCCAGCCCCCTCCAGCTAGCGCTAGCCTTTGATCTTTGTACCAGGATGCCCCCTTTGGTATCAGATCTGAACATTTAAGTGGCAGCTCTGCTCCTGTGCAGGAAATCTTCTGTGTTCAGCAAAGCGCGGGTTCTCCGTATCTGCCTTTGCGCTTGTCAGGAGGCTCCTTGGCAGGATGCTGAAATTCAGCCGTGTGCGGCTGCCCTGTGCTTGGCTGCCAGTGGGGCTAGCAAGCGCTCAGCAGCATCCTTTGTGCTTTTATGAAAGGTTTTTGGTGACCATAGCACAAGCCAAACAGAATCTGGTACATGTTGATGTTCTGTTTCTTACGATTGGATGTTTCCTTGTCTTTGCTTCGGGAAATTTTAACTTTGGAGCGACTTTTGGACAAACTTATTTTTAAATTTTCGTTAGCATATATAATAGCTGTTGATTGGATTGATTATGCTGTTTTTATAAACGTATATGATATATGTCAATCACAGTCACTCCCGTTGCCTTTTCTTCCCACCCTCATAATCTGTTTCCTCTTCTCATCCAGCCTCCCTTCTACTGTCCTTTCTTTTTTTAATGATGATGACCCAATCAGTGAATTTCATAAAGTTTGTTTACAGGTGCACAGGCCCTTTACCAATTTCCATACCAGTGAAGAAAACGCCCTCCTCTTCTCTATTCAATGTTAGCTGCATATAAATCCGTAGGGGGGCAGGTGGGACCCTGTGAGCCCTTCCCCTTCAGTGGCAAGCTGTTGACAGGCCTCGCCATGTGCAGGTAATTGCATCTGCTGTGAACCCCAGAGTGCAGCAGCCGTATCATGCCTCCCAGCCAGTGTTACACACTGCTCTCCCCGGTTCACTCTGACCCTTTATCTTCCTGGTCCCTAAGCCTTGGAGGAGTGTTTTGTTGATGGCTGAGCATTCAATAGTCATTTATGCTTAGCACTTTAACCAGTATGAGTTGCTCCAAGGTTAAAATTTCCCAAAGCAAGGATAAGGAAACATCCAATCGTAAGAAACAGAACCACGGAGCACTACAGATAAGAAACTCCAATGACCAGTGCTAACATTAGCACTGTTCTATGTACATGCACTGAGTTGTTTGGAAGGCAGTCTGAAAGGTACATGCACCGAGCTGTTTGGAAGGCAGTCTGAAAGGTACATGCACTGAGCTGTTTGGAAGGCAGTCTGAAAGGTACATGCACTGAGTTGTTTGGAAGGCAGTCTGAAAGGCACATCATACCAAGCAAAACAACAGCAGGAACTTCCCCGCCAGGGCCGACAGACAGCCTTCCCAACCACAGGCTTTGGACCAGGTTTCTGATGCCGGATGTGAATTCCCTCCTGTGGAGAGGGCCTCAAGTCAGTGGTTACACCATATCAGCCTTGCCACTGGTATGCCAGTGGGTTCATCTTGCCTGGCAAGTCAGTCTTACTGAACATGGGGCCCACAGCTGAATACCACGATGGATGACAGTTTTCCCCAGCAGCCTGCATAGCACCTGACTGTGCCATGAGGGCTAGCCAGCAGGGAGGCAGCTTCCAGACCAATTGCAGCTTGATTCTTTTCCTGTGTCCCACAACCACAATGTGTGATATTTTCAGCAATAGGGCCTCACTATCCAGTTCTGATGAGCAACCAATGGCAATTTACCATTATGTGTGTGTGTGTGTGTGTGTGTGTCTGTCTGTCTGTCTGTCTGTCTCAGGGTCCTCCCTGCCTAGCAGCTTGTAGGGAGATGGGCCCACTTCTGGCCCTGGGATTTTCATTTCATAACCTGTGGCCTCGCCTCTGAGGGCTGCTTTATTCACCTCCCAAGGTATCTCCATTCAAATTGTCATTGTTTGATGTTTTGATTAGCTTGTAAAGGTCAGCCTTCCTTATGTATTTTTCACATGTTACTAGTTTGGGTTGTACTTCTCCCGTCTCCCGAGTGTGTTCTAGTCTTTGAAGCGAGCGCCTGCTCCCTGGCACACCCCGCTTTCCCCTCTTACTATGAGGACTTGTAGCCTTGGGGAGAGGAGAAGCTAGTGTGCTGATTTCTGCGGGCCCTGCGGATATTCAGAATCAGTTTCACTTCCGGAGGTTGTGCCTGGTCTTCAGATGTTGATTACTTTCCTATACCTTCTTCCTGGATTTTAGAGATATGTATGTATGTCTATATAGAGGGAATTCCCTCTTGGCGTGTTTGAGACAGGGTGTCGTGAACCTCTCTTGGCTTCAGACTGGCATTGTAGCACAGGCTGGCCTTCAGTCTCCGTTCTCCAGTCTCCACCTCTCCAGGGCGGAGATTATAGGTATGCATCACCATCCTGCTGTTTTATGTGTCTTCTGGGGACCAAACCCAGGGCCTCATTCATGCTGGGCAAGTACTCTACCAACTGAGCTATATGCCCAGCCAGGAAGTCTTGATTAGGCCTGAGGCCACTCTGCGAATGCTGGGATTTTGGTTGTTGCTCTTGTTACAGAAACTTGACCCGTTGGGGCTTACTTCTACATTATTGTTTTCGGGGTAACATTTTAACATCCCTGGTTATGTGTGAAGAGGAATAATGTTTACAATAGAGTTCATCCAGAAGAGGCTTTTAGGACCACTTAAAAAGGCAAAATCTACACCAACAGAGGAATGCTAGCTGCAAGGACTGTTGTTTTCTTACGGTTGAAAACAATACAGCCAGAATAAGTACACACAGCCCTTTGGGTTTGGAACTGATGCGGATGTAGGAGGTTCTTCCTACAGATGTGTCTCTTTGAGGTTCCTTCACAGCAGAAGGGCCCGCCCTCCTTATGCTGGCATCATTTATGCCGTCTCCATGCCTTTCCACTTCAGTCATTCTTCGTGGCTGCCGTCATAACGCCCGTGAGTATCCCACTGCCTTCAAGGCTGAGAGGTTGGAGAGGGCATTCACTCCCTTTTCATAGCCAGCTAGAAGTTGGTCATAAAAGTTTATTGTTCGTTTGGTTTGGAGGTGGGGGTCTCACTGCGTGGCCCTGGCTGTCCTGGAACTCAACCATGTAGACTAGGCTGGTTTTGAACTCACAGAGATCCACCCGTCCCTTCCTACTAAAT